CCTCACCATTGCCACCCTCCTGTTGAACTTGATCGTCACCCTTCCACTCATTGGCGACCTCTTGTTGATCGCCATCTTCCTATCTATTGGTGCTCTCCTGTTCCTTTCCGCCCTCTCACCTGGTGGCACCCTCCTGTTGATTGTTGATCGGGGCCCTCCTACCTATTGGCGCCCTCCTGTTGATCGCCGCCCTTCTACCCATTGGTGCCCTCCTGCTGCTTGCCACCATCCTACCTATCGGTGCCCTCCTGTCGAAACTCGGGATGTTGATCGGGGCTCTCCTACCTATTAGCGACCTCCTGTCGATCGCAGGCAGCCCTTCTACCTATTGGCGACCTCCGTTGATCGCTGCCCTCCTATAATTTATCTACTCCTTTGGCATGTTTCCCAACTTAGCAGTTCTCTTGCACATATTGATGTCTTTCCTGATTTATCTACTTTGTTCATTTGTGGCCTGTGAAAACTGCCACAAATGAACGTGCATTCAGCATAATGAATGAAGCATACCAAAACTGTCTACGCTCTACCATGCATAAAACACGTCTTTGGTCTTAACGGATTGATCTTACTTTACATGCATCATGACATCTATTTTATATGGATCACGATTAAGTATTGTCATCAGGTTCGGCTGCAACAGCAGGCATCAGTTTCGGTGATTGAAGCTGGTTATTTAGGTATTCAATACTGTAATATGCATCTGTGAGAAGGTCATGAGGGCTGGTCGAGGTAATTTGGATGAGAAGCCCGAGGAGGCTAATCAATCTCATGAGGAACAGTCCTGTTATGGTTCACCTATCTTTCTGTTTCTGCCGCCTTCTCGTTGTGCGCTTGTGTTTACGCACCTCGCGCTCCGGTATCAATCCGATATGGTGGTCTGGTGTGTATGCCACCGCCAATAAACTTTTCTACATCGTCACCCATGGGCGAAGCTTCCTATACAGTTTGTGTGGCACCGGCCCCACCAAACCTTAGGTATTTTTACACCTTCAAATTTGGTAAAAGAGCGAGAAGAGCTTTGAACAGAGCTCGTAAAATATGTGCCTAAAAGGCGGAGGAAAAGGTTGTTTTCAAAAATTTCGCGCGCCTTCGGCGCGCACAACAACACTTCTTTAGTAGGAACTTATAGCCAATCACTTCCAACCTTTTCGTCACGTGTCAGAATAACCCGCGCCAGGACATTTCTTCAGACATGCGGTAGAAAAATCACATATACCACTACGCTACGAGCTTCCGTTTTTTCCTGTTGGGGGAGGGAACTGGGTGAGCGGGAGGGGCACACCTTTTGGTACAAAACAAAATACACACGATGGAAAATCAATGCAGCATAACCTATACCAAGGTACGCAAAAAAACTGGTGGCGCAGTAAAAAAAGGCCTCCCACCCCCACCCCCCTCCGCTGAGCGATCGTTAAGGATTTTTATCTCGCGAACGTATTGCGCCCTCCTTGGGTGAGGTGGCGCCCTCCAAACCCTTGGCCCCCCCCTTCGCGATTTTCTAAATACGCCGCTGTTTATTTACGACGTGTGGCGAATAATATTCCAAATAAACAGCCTTTATCCTTATTGGATTTTGATTACCAACAATAACGGCAAAAGAGCTGCTCATCCTTTTACCTTGTTAGCGTGGATTCGTCAAGTTTCACAATACAGACACTCTTTGCAGTTCGCTGAAGACAAGGGGCTTCCTCACGCGCGCGGCACTGCAGCGCAGCAGCCATAAGTTGTGTAAGTTGGCTGTCGCAAACTTTCCGGCTGGTGACGGCTCGACACAATGAACCTGTTAGCAGGCGGCGTCACCCCGCCGGCGGCATTCCACTCTATTACTCTCAGGCGCCAACTGAAATTAAATGGTCTAATGCTATTTGCCAGATTTCATTAGCATTTCTATTAGCATATAACACCCCCCAATCTTTCCTGGATACCATTTGGGCTTGATTAAAAGCCATCGAAGCGCCCCAGGGCGCAATTAATTTCCGATCGGCCTCGTCGGTGGCAGAGCGGCATTACCGGGAGATAGAGCACGCCGATCGGCCGGCCGGTCACGTGACCGGGCGGCTGATCAAAGAGCGCGTGCTGCTGACGGAGCGCCGCCCAGAGATCGGCTTCGGTCGGCGGTGCTCACGCATCGCGGCGCAAACCAATCAGCGGACAGCGCTCGCGCCGCACGCTCCGGCGGCCGCCGCGCCGGCTGCGGCTTTGTGTAGCCGCAATTGTCGCTTTGAGACGCCGGAAGCGGTTTTATCGTCCGCTGTTGAGCTGGCCGTTTCTTGGCGGGGCTACAGATGACAGAGGCCATTGGAGCTGATCAAAGGGCATCTATCTGTATTTGTTGGCTGTCATATTTTGTGACTCATCTCATGTTGACATAGCAATATTGGAAACAAACTCAGATTTTTTACGAGTTCATATTAGCAGACGCTGGACGCGCACTGGCGCAGTGCTACAGCATTAAACACCTCACCGGACACATGCAAAATGTTCTGCCTTAATATGCTTACCAGTGTAACTCTTGGGCTTTGTCGCAAATCATCACTTTTTGATAGCATTAATTGTAATTATATGATAACGAAGAAACGTGTTAAATAAAAGTGGAAAGCTCAACCATTTTATAACGCCTATGTTTCATAGTGAATTTATTTCATTAGCCCGTAAATGAACTGTCGTTCAGCTCATAGATTCTCACATCAATAAGTAATAAACTAAAAGCTTTTACGTCGTCCGCCACTAGAATTCTATTGCTTTATTGATTTCACTAACCACAATAGCTAGGTATGTACCTACCCTTTCTGTCTGCCTCTATCCACTTCTCTCTCTCTCTCTCTCTCTCTCTCTCTCTCTCTCTCTCTCTCTCTCTCTCTCTCTTCTTTTATCTCATTCTCTCCCTCTCCCCTCTCCACCCCCTGACGACCAGCCCCCACCCCGTCGGCCGTCGTTGCCGACACCCCTCCGCCGCCGCCGTCGTCGCGGCCGACGCGGCGAGAGGCGCAGGTGGCCGCGGCCAGATTAGGGATCACCGCCGCGTCGGGAGAGACACTCAAACCGGCCGCGGATTCATCAAAAGAGTAATGCTCTCGATCTCCAGGGAGCGGCATTCAGTCGCCCGGATTTAGTGGTGGCGCGCGCGCGCGGAAAAGCGCGCGGGCGGCGGCGGCGCGCCATTTCTGGCGGCCGCCGTCCCAGGTCGATGCGGACGACGCGTCGCGGCCAGAATTGGCTTACGTGTGGGCTCAGCGCGGCCGACGGCGCACAATGGGGAGGAATGAAAGCGATATCCCACGGATGAGACGGCGCCGGGTCGCGCTGCGCCCGCACCAAATGGCCGGATGGAGGAGCCGTGCTGGTGGCTGTGCGCCGTGCACCAGATGGCTAACTGTATGGACGTGAGCCGATCCTGTCTGAGGAAAGGTACCAGAATTGGACTGAGAGTGGACCATGCACAGCTGCACATATTGGTTAGGTACTGACAGGATGGTTGGCTGCTAGTTGTTACTCTTTGAAGGTTGTTTGTCTCTTTGTTATCGATGGCTGCCATGACAATTGACACTACCCGGATAAATCATGTTGCATTGCATTGCATTTTTAGGCAATTTCAATCGTTTGTGAAAGCTGCTATACAGGTGCACAAGATCCAGCGATAATCAAAACGTTACCCATTTTCTAGCATAAGAGTCTGATCTAATGAGTACTGAGATTCTTATAATTTTTCATTTCCGTTCTTAGTTCTTACGTTTTTTTTGTAATATGCATATATTCACTTTCAGCTATCCGACTAATTTCTCGACAACTTTGAACATGGTCATTTGTTTCGTTATCACCACGTTACAGCTTCAAACTAAGGTAACGTTTTTACTCAGTATGACTCACGTTTCTTCGGGTCACCAAACATGTTGAAAATCAAGATGAGTTCTCTATTATGGTGAAAAGATCCAATGATGACCGTGATGCTGATACTTTCGATTATTTGCTGTAATATCAACCATACACATCCGAAGTGACATCTGATCACAGCAATGAAACGAAAACCGATGATCAACAAAAGAAAAAGAGAAAAGAACAACACTCAAAACGGTCTACTGAGGGGTCGGTACAGCAAATAACGTGCGCCGGAGCAGTCTTCCTGTCTTCCGGTACAGTATCATTTCAGGCGCTTGACAACTAGTGTCATCTAGCGGCAGGTGTTCAAGACGGTTGACGGCGCCGCCAGTCGCGAGAAGCAAGTGTTACTCGGTCTGGGCAACACATTACCATAATTATTGGTGTTGCAGTTTGCGCTCGATCAGCAGAGTGCACAGGATGCATTTTTAAGGTTAGAATGTTATCTCAATATTCGCGCTTTGATAACATAACGCCTTTTTACCAAGAGACCCGAAGGTTTTGCATGTAATTGATCTCCTTCAGACTTCAGTCGATCACCGTTTTCCCGTAGTTCTAGGGCCTGGGTTTTTCCCAGGGTAATAGACTCTGAAGTAGGTATATTTATATTATTTGCTAACTTTTGATCACAATGCGAGCTGTGACCACGGACCAGCACGGCGCGCTGCAACTTATAGAGGGTGCCGTTTTACGGTTCCATTTCATAAGAAGGGCTCTCAAATCACATGTGATTGTAATACAAAAAGAATGGTTGCACGAAGACTGTGAATGGCTGACTAATGATAATGCTGCTTAGATATATGATATTATTTTCGCATTAAACGTTGACTATTGAAACCACTTTCGAGCCCTATACGGTTGCCTCAATCACAGCCGTTTTCCGGCATTTTACTGTCCGTCTGACTCGGCCATTTGTGATGGCTGACACGGCTTTTTATTCCCTTCTATTGATTGTTTAACTCTTCTCCAAGGAGTGACAGCCGCATATCCCCGCCTCCCCCCAGCCGTGAGACCGCCGTCTCCACACTCCACAGGCGTTACCACTGCCCCCCTTCACAGGCGCGACATCACTTATCCTCGCTTTTCCCCAGAAGTGATAACTCCTATCTCCGCCCTTTTTTCAGGCGTGACACCGCCATCCTCCTCGGCGTCCGGCGCGGGCCCCATCTCGGCCGCTGGGGCGCCGCCCTCCCCGGCCAGCCCGGCGCCGCTGCTGGCTCCGCTGGCCCTGCCGTTCACGGCCGGGTCGTTCGGCGTGGTGCAGGTGGGCAGGGACGAGCCTGCCGCCCCGACACCGTTCGGCCGGCGCGGCTCGCCCGGCCTCAGCTGTGTGGTGTGCGGCGACACGAGTAGCGGAAAACACTACGGCATCATGGCCTGCAACGGCTGCAGCGGCTTCTTCAAGCGCAGCGTTCGCCGCCGCCTCATCTACCGGTACGGTAGGAAGGGGCAGCGGAGGGGAGACTGGGAAATTATGGATGGTGCCGAGACTTTAGAGCCGAGAAGGTGTCATGAATGAATGAATCAATTTATTAGGAAGCAATGTCACTAAAAAATCACAACATATCAACATATCAACGAATAAGAACAACAATAAAAGTATATCAATTAAAATTAACCCGTCATTGTCGACGCATCCCAAACATTAAGCTATTGCCTCTGTTCCAGATGCCAGGCTGGCACAGGCAAGTGTGTCGTCGACAAGGCTCACAGAAATCAGTGCCAGGCGTGCCGGCTCAGAAAATGCCTCGTCATGGGAATGAACAAGGATGGTAAGATAACTATTGCAACTATCAAGGAGACCTACACAATGCACAAAGTAAACCTATTATGCCGCTCCGATTACTGCAGGCAGTGCCTTTTGGCTGTCACGAAGACCACGCCTACCACGAATGTCACGAATGTCGCGAAATGAACTTTATGAGGTCGCCACTTGACCTCATGTGACCTATAGGTAGGTATATTTGTAGTCGGTATCAAGTGATAGTAATAATTAGGTACCTACTTTACCTCGTTATGTAAAACTGACACAGACGATTGAACTTAGGAATGAGCAAATTAGATATACCTTAAAATTAAACCAATGAATAACTAAAGGCCGCCGTCCACTATGCGAAACGCTTGCGGATGTCCATCACATTGCGGCATCGCTTGCGGTCCGTACGGAATTTAACACAGAGCCCTATGGGCGCATCCGGTCCGTACGGAAATCGTGTGCGCTCCGTGCGGACTGCATCCGAACGGCAATCAGCTGTTGATTTTCCGTTTAGCTCTCCGCAAGCGTTTCGGAAGCGGTTGCTACGGAAACTAAATAACAAAGTCCGACATGTTGAACTTTTCTGCGGAGAACGCAGGCGGAACGGACGCGGACAGGTACAGTCTTCCGTCTTCGAGTTTTCAATTGCAAATTTAACCCTCGCCGGCACAGGGGGGGGGGGGGGTTGATGCAACCCCCCTAAGTTTTTTCGCGAATAACTCGCGTAAATAGCGGCCGATCGCGACGAAACTTTCAGTACCCTCGCATTGATCAATTTTACATCTACCCTGAAAATTTCATGACCCTGACCCAAATGACCTTTGACCTGTGACCTCTTTTCCGAGACCATGTTTGGCCGAAATCGCGATTCGGCGTATGTCGGCTCGCATTAGCCGCGCGTTTGCAAGCTTTTCGTGGTTTCAAACGTTCAAACATGTGATTTGATGTTGCTCCCATACATTAGGGTGGGTGTCAAGGTCACCTGAAGGTCAGGTCAGGTCATTGACCTTTGGTGACCTCGGGTGACCTCGGTTCACTTTTTCGAGTTTTACATGTTTCTAGGCTAGTTTTTGGAGCTGAATTCGAATTTAGCAACCATTTGAACATTTACGAAGTAGTTTTGGTGCCTTCGTAACATGTTACGAAGCTGTCAGAGGCGGTTGACACGTATTACGAATACCCGTCACAACCCCTACCGGTTGACCTGACCTGACCTGACCCGACCTGGTCTAAATGCTTAAAGACATCATCTCTGATCAAAACTAACACGATATTCGTGATCAGCACCCCGGAAAACCACATAGCAGTCACACTTTACGGCTTTCTAACAGGTTCCAATTTTCCCGGTTTTCGGGTCATTGACCTGACCTGGAAGGTCACCCGATGACCTAGGACCTTAAAATTGGGTATCATCGGCTTTGTCTCGTGACGGGCAACACGCTCGTTTTTTCCGCGAAGCTCTAGCTCGATCAGGGGCCAAACGCGAGGGGGGGGGTTGTACCAACCCCCCCTTGTGCCGTCGAAGGACGCAAAATGGCCTGTGCTGGCGAGGGTTAAGAAATAATTTCAACTCTTTCAAGATGAAGTAAGTAAACACAATTTCCTTGACATGGCAGCACTATGTTATGCTAGTAAATTGCTATACTTTCTTTTGTAATAACTGATAATTGTGTAGCAAGGTAATGAAGAAATGGGCGGGCGGGTAAACACTCCTCTGCTTCGTTGCAGCTGACCCAGCACCGGGGTCCACCGTTGTTCGGCTGTTGTAGCAGAAGAGAGAATAATTCGCCGCTGGAGGAACTCGATAGTAAAGCTGCTAGAACAGGGAAGCTTGAGAGTCGTTGAAGAGATTCCGAGAGGGATCTTCAGAGAGAGAGATCCAGATAGTGATGAGATCCACCTGAGAAAGATGTAGGTATCCAGATCCACCTTGCATACAAATACATCTGATGGAAGATGCTTTAAAATTTTGAGGCTTGATGATTCTGTTCATTGTATAGACCATGATGCACGAGATGCTTCTTCACTGCTCGGATTAGGGATAGAGGGATCCGATCAGCTGGGTTTGCGGCACAGTTGGGCAGGTGAAGGACAGGGCATTCGAAGTTCCGATGACCACTGCCAAACATATGGGTGGTAATTACATTGATAAATTGAATGTGATCATTCGTCTAGTCACCCATTCCTATATCACTGGCCTCCCCATTAAGAAAATTGCCCACTTAATTCGTATTAGCGTTGCTAGTTTTAAGTTGCCCTCAAGAATCATTTGTTCGACTGCCGTAACCGAATTCTACCAAATTCCCATCGGCCTTACTCTAAGATTCATGCGTCATCATTCTCACACCCTTGCTCGCATTACGTTCACATTTCATGTATTCACCCAAATTTAATTGGTAGCCCCCGAAATTCCCTCCGATAGTGTTAGGCGTCTTACAAACCATGGTCTCCCCGGCGAGATAAATGTCTCTTCCGAAATCCATATGCACGCTCCGCTAACCGGCGACAAACATACTTATCGCAGGGCTGTCCAGAATAATTATGCACAAATATCCACCCTCCTATTTTATGGGATTCACTACACGTCCGATAGACTTATGGTTATACACACATACACGATTTATATCCGACTTATCTCTCTACCGGGAGAGATTACCTATGCCCTCTTCCGGTCCGCGTGTAACATTCCCGTTCACGACCCAGGGACCACAGTTCATATCCTGGAACTATCCTTAAACCATGGGATTTACTCTTCAAGGCCTTACGTGTCCTGGAGTACATTCTTCCCTCCCCTGAGGCTGTCCAGTACCGATTAGAGTACCTTTACGAAATAAGTATGAGGATTTATTCGGGACACTACGGCTCGCTTTATCCGCCCTTTGGGTGACTCACCCCTGACCTTCGGCTTCTTGCCTTTGGCATAACTTACTCTCCACTGCATACTGCGCCAATCTTTCCCCTCCCCCTGCCGTAGAAACCTCTCACTGCCTTCTCACCCAGTGTTACCTAAGCGGGAAAATTAACAGTGGCCGGTACCACTGGCGGAAAACGTGCATATGCCCTGCGTACGTGACGGTGTGTCCCTCTTATCATTCCGGTCTGGACGTGGGTTTAGAGAAGTGCATCTGTGTCTCATACAGTCATGCTGGTAAACATTACGCCATAGGAGACGGGCAAACAAGCCGTCTGTGCCTCCCAATGCCCTATGCCAATATTGGTGGAGTAATGATTGGCGCTAACTCGCAAGAACACGGATAACAGAAACGCATTATTTATCCTAGCCAAATCGTAATCTCAAGTCATAAATTCTGCTGCACACGTGAATCCAATCATCAGTTCTCGTATACAATCCTAGTCGACCTTGAACCGCTCTTGATTTAATCAGGTGATCTAGAACCAATTAGTACGCACCGATCTGTCGTCTGGTTGTGATCCACCGTATCATAGTAAATTACTGAATGCTCAAACGGAAATGACTCCTTGAAACTCGTTCGATAGCTTCTGATGGGCTACTAGTTACCTATACAAATTATCTTTATAGAGTGCCAGAATATTGTCATAGGGGTCCCTAGCCTTTCATAGAAAATCTAATTTAAATCATCCTTATATTCGCAGTAACCAATGCACATCAAACGAACTGCAGTCCTAGATATCATAAAGCATGTCATATTTAAAATTATGCATTAACTGTTTACGTTCTTATCCCGTTGCAACTTTCCACAACTAACCATGTCTCTATACGATGACCTTCACCTACCGCACGCGCCCCAATTACGGCTAACCCACTGCCCCTGTTGTGGTTGCTCCTCGCGCCCTCTGGCGGCTCAACGCCCGCGTCGGGGACGACGAATACCACGGCCGCCGGCCGGCGCCGCGTCGACACCGTCAGTCACAGTCACGCCGTTATGGGCGCGTCAACACTCGCGGTACAGTGCTCGTGCGTGTTGTCTCTTCTGGCCGGGTAGATTCACCGGATGTGTCAGTGAGTGTGAATCTGGTAAAATATTGCTACAATATCTCCCTGTTCGACATCTCATCAGCTCCATTCCACGTAAGTTTTTTTTTTTTTTGAATTAAATTCCTGTCCCATTTAATCGTTCCCCAACAAAGATGGTCCTTTCTAGTATTTATTCTACAAAAGCACAACGATCGGTACCTATATCAGTCGCATATTAGTTCTAATCACAAACAATTCTACATCTACCTGTTACTCGACATTTCGCAATTTCAATGACGCAAAGTGACCATCTAAAGTCGCAAAGTGTCAAACCGTCAACCTCAAACCACTGCTCACAACTCTGCACCTAAGTAACAGAAGAAATTCCGCCGTAAGCTCAAGCATTCGTATTGTCCTCCTCCGTGGCCGAGTGGATAAAAGCGCCGGAATTCGACGCCTAACCGGAAGTGAGAGCCCGGTTCAAGCCCCGGCGCGGGCGGCCACATTTAGCTCCTACGTGTAATGGCGTGCGTGTCTGTGGCAGGGGCCGCACAGAAGCCAGGTAGCGTGAGTGAGCGGAGGGGACCGTGTCCAGTCGTGAGGGCACGTTAACCCTCGCACGACCAGGCCATTTCTCATAACACGAACGACCAGGGGGGGGGGTTGTTACGACCCCCCCCTGGCGTTTCGAAACGGAAGGTCGTAGAGCTTAGCGGAAAAAACCAACGGATTGCTCTCAACGAGATCTCGCGATTGGTGGTATATTTTTTGGTCCTAGGTCAACATTTGACCTACTTATGACCGGTCAAAGGTCAAATTTTCCGAAAAAATTAAACTTTTTCAACTTTCCGCGGCGATTGCGGCAAAACGGTGGGAGAAATCGACTTGAAACCTTCACTATCGTGTTCCTTGATCAATTCTCTATCGTTTGGTATGTATTTCGTTTCCCTAGCTCTAAAAATGGCGCGTTGGGAGCGCCGGAAGTCGGCAAGGTCACAGTCGGCGGCAGAAATTCGAAAAAATCAAAATTTAAATTTTTGAAATCTGATTGTATTTTTGGATTTGGGAGGTCCATTTGCTCCCTATAGAAGCTAATATTGCTGCATATTCCCATTGAGGTGACAAGAATTGGCAAAATAGTGGTTCGGGCGCTTTTCAAAAATAGTACCGGACGCTGTTCCTCTTGTGACGTCATAGCTCCGTGACCTGACCTGACCCGGTCAATTTTCTTGCACCACACGATAGCCAATGCTTGCCCCAACATGCATGGGAAGTTTCATCATGATCCATCAAACAATGTGGGTATCACCGGCAGAAAACCTAGGGATTCGGCGCACACGTTTGGTAACTGTCGGCCGGAGGCTGTACCTCTTATGACGTCATAACTCCGTGACCTGACATGACCCGATCAATTTTTTTCGGCAAAAGATGCGCAAAGGTTGCCCCAGAGGGTATTGAAAATTTCAGCCCGCTACGACAAGCCGTTTAGCGTGCACTTCGAAAAAACCTCAGGGGGGGGGGGTTGATACAACCCCCCCCCTAGGCGTTCTATAGTCAGGGGAAGCAGGCCCATTTTTGGGCCGAATAACGCAAAATTGGGTAGAGCTCAGCAAAGGGTGGTTTCTGGGACAAAAATGACCGCTGAACCCGAATCTGACCGGTGCGCACCTGTAACTAATGATGCACCACTTCCAGAGCACGTGCAACTGCGTGGTTCTTCTTTTTTGAAGAATGGTACCCTTTTTATTTATTTTAAAATAAAGTTAGTTGTGTAGTTGCGTTGTATTCCAAAACTTTAATATTATAGCCAAAATTCATTGCATAAATGAAAGTCCTAGTTAACGAATATCGCAGACAATCTATGACGTCACTGTGACGTCATTTATTCGTAAACTGACGGGAAAATGAGGTGTGACAACAAAACATTTAACTTTATTCACAGGATACGCTCATTGGCGGGTTCAAAATGCATTGAGCATGCTTAGAAAATATCTCCCCGTTGCAAAAAGTAAAAATCGTCTGGATGGAGGTACCATTTTGGCCCACAGGGGGCGAAATCCGCGGAGTGTGCGTTTTTACCCCAAATAGTTTTTGTGCAATAACTTTTGATACAATGCTTGCATGTCGTCCATTTTACCATCGTTGTGATTCTCTCACCGAGACGCATCGAATAGTATGCAAATTGACTTCGATTGGTTAAGATTATATTTTACCGCAGTTCATGAGCTCAGGTCGATTATCACGCTAGTGAAGGTTATGACCTGACTGGTAATGATCATGTAGTTTACAAATTCGCTTTGGATTATCAAGATAATCGCATGGAAAATGCTTTCATTGTTCTTATGTGGTTTTATCAAAAGCTATAGCTGAAAAATTGCTGATGACGCTTTCAGGACGTCACATGACAATCCTGGACGTCATACATGACACATCCTGACAATCCTGACGTCACATGACAATCCTGGACGTCACATGACAATTTCAGGACGTCATAGGCCAATCCTGAAGAGTGAGGCCCGGACCAGGGGTGAGCAGCCGTTGCGGATCTGCGAGGCAATGGTCTGTCCCCATCGGTACTTCACATCGGTAGTTATGAAGCCAAGCGCTGTCGTAAGCTTAACGTATTATAGATGCATATATGTAGAATATCGTCGGAGCTCAATTTTCACGATGACCTTCAATGGGTTAAGAAATTATATTAGAAATGTGATTGAATGTGTTTGACCTCGGCTGTTAACATAAATACTCACTAGAAATACTCTGTCGATACTCTGTCAAAAGTATAGAAATATACCGAACCGACTTTTGACACGTTTTGCCGCTTTTACAGAATACCTATTGAAACCAGTTATTCAGATCGTTGGGTTAGCGAATCAAGAAAGTAGATGTTGCTAGTTCGCCACAGTCGCTGTGCACTTTTATTACTTTTCGATTGCTGCTTCCTTCCACACAAGACATTTCATGCTCTTCATCCCACTACCCATACAGTGATGAAACGTCGCATGCTAGAAAGTGTACCTATTATTTCGAATGGCACGAAATGGTCACCCAACCATTCACTTTTTCAGAGGCCTAGCCCGGTGCGCACGAGCATGAGCCTCAGTACCAAGAAGCACACATGTGCATTGTACATTATAACACAAATCTACATTGTACGCACAATCACACACATACACACACACACACATGCACACTACACAGAAGTACAAACACAAATAAGCACATGCCATCATCAAGAAGATGTCGCGCTGCGCCAGCTGTGTAGAACTAGAGAAGCCGGAACTAACAGCGCCGGAGACTAGAGAATGGCCGTTCGCCACTCGCGATGGACCGCTTGTCCTCACACAGAACTTTTCATTGTTCTTCACTCAATAAACAATACTATACTCAACACTACTCAACACTTGCACTAGTCACCACTCAACATTCAACACTAATGATCAGTTCACTCAAGGGAGCGATCGCGGTCACCAGCTACTGGCGGTCACGTGTACCTGCACCGGCACTTGCACCCAGCTGCGCACGGGACACCAGCCTTTGTGCAGCTGCACCTCTTGGCACAGGCCTTGCTGCAGGCGCAGCGTATATCGTTCGACAGGCAGGTTGGCTCTGGAGGAAGGCTGCACAGAACTGGCATCAGGCTGCCGTCGACCATCCGCCAACCCCCGTCTCGAGGTGGCAGCGCCGGCCGCAGCCGCAGAGCCTGCTCCCAGATGGCTGCCTGGTGGTGGCACCGTCTCAGATGGAGCCTGAGGGCATCGGCAGTGGGCGGAAGAGTCGCCACGTGTTTTCCCTGCTGGAACAGGGTCGCTCTGACTTCGTTCACAGAGGTGATGCCTCCTGACATCCCGTACCACCTCGTCACAAATGTCTCGACATTTTTCTCCACTTTTGAAGAGGGCTCGTCTGATCCTTGTCCTATGCCATGCAGTAGCACAGGGTGTCTAAAGAATGTCTTCCATGCGCTTCTTTTTCCTTTCCTGAAGAAAAACGATGTCGTGTCACTGCCAGTGAAGGCATGGAAGGCCAAGAGTCCCTTCAAGACAGTTGTCGGCAGAGACTCTACGACGTCATGAATGGGGATGTATTTCTGGTCTCTGTTAGATCCGGTTCGCATCCAAAGCTGTTTTGCCGGCAGTTTCTCGCGGTGGTACGTCAGCAGCACCAGGACGTCTGTGTCGCGAGAGTACACGATGACCGTCTGCTGTCGCATGTTCGCCACGTGTAACAGAAGTCTGGTATCAGCTTCTTCGTGTATCGCTCGCATAGAAGACAGGTTCATGTCCGGTTTGTTTGAACGCACATCTTCTGCACATTCAAACGCTCCAGCTACCACGACGGTAAATTCGTAGCTCTCTCGCAGAACAGCGGCTGCTAGGAAGCTGGTTAGGCTGGTTTTGTTCGATGACACGCTGAGATAGCACCTCCATTCTTGAGTGGGCAGCGTGGTGGCTTGTGTAAGTCCGCCCTCTGATACGCCATCGTTGTCTTCATATGACCGTACGCAACCATTTTTCCTCCTCTCACGGGCCGCTGACTTGATGGAGTCAGCATCATATCGATCGAACACGATGTCGAGTCGTTGAGCACTGTGCTTCTCCTGAATGTTGCGCAGGGATGTGTCAAACACTTTTGCGATGTCTCCGAATGTTTTTGCTCCCGGTGGCTTCCCGATCGCTTGCACAAGTCCCATTGCATCGATCACCACTCCGGTGTGCTGCTGATCTCTGATTGCAGAAGGACATTCTACACCTTTCGTCAAGCAGGTCACCAGCTGACTCTTCTGACCGGTGCGCAGTGTTCCATCAGCCAAAGCGATCGAACTGGGGACAGAGGTCAGCTCATGTTTCATAACTTCACTGATATCTACTGCACGGCCGGACTCGTACATGCCAGTGATCTTCTGCAGAAGGCGACCATCCACTTCGACTGCGTCAGTTTTGGGCTTCCTGGCTTGTGCTGTCATGGACGCAAACGTCAGAGGCTTCTGCTTCTTTAGAGGATGGTAGAATGGATGGATAGCAGAACCATCAGCGGGTCCCATTCTCGTGCGAGCAAAGTTTTGAGCCAGCTGTCCACCTTTCGTTTTTGCGGTTAGCAGCGCCTTTTGTACTTCTACTGAGCATCTTTCTTTGGTGGCCATTCTGATCAGACTTTGATCTTGTGCCGGTAGCACGCAGAACTTCTGAAGACTACCCTTCAGTCGTTCTTCCGCATCACGGTCCTTAGCCTTCCGAGCAGCGCCTTCCTCGCTGTGGTGTTGATACTCGGCGGCTGATGGCATCCCTAGAAGCTTCAGAGTGTTGGCGGAAATGATGGACCTCAGGTTGTAGGACAGCGCCCAGCGACTCAATGCCGACGGTGTCCTGGTGATGCCAACAATGCCGCCGCTCTCCTTGCCAACACAGTTCAGCCATTCTAGGGCGTGATCGGGATCCACCTCTGAGAAGCTCCTGTTCGTCCACTTCACTACAAAGTTCCCTGCCAGGAACTCGTTTTCAACCTCCGATGGAAGACTTCCCATCTCGGAGAGGTAGACTGATCCCCATCTGAAACACAAAGATGAAGTTGTTAAACACCTGCAAAAGTTTTTTTTTGGCATTAACACCAGTAAATCATGTTAAAGAAATAGAACTAACAAAATGTGATTGTCAATATTTAGCCTATTTTGAGCCAAAATAACCTTAAGTTAGGCTGCAGGATAGGAAGAAATGTCTAGCCAAAGTTAAGATCAGTCTCACCTCGCATAGTTCTGATGGTCGTATATGAAGAACCATGGAAGCATCTCCTTGAAGCTGTCAAGGTGCAGACACCAGTCGCCAGTCCGTTGCGCTCTGAGGAATCTGAGCAGCAGTCCCACCATTTCCAGATAGTCCATCCAGAAGCACCTGTTCGGTCCTGCTGTGGAGTAGAACTCCTGGCGCAGCTCACGGAACGCCGGTGTGTTCACCTGCATGACCAACTCTTCAAGGTCGCCACTCGTGACTTGCAGAGCGGCGTGAAGCTCCTCGTTCCTTTCCTGGATGAAGTGGAACATCATTGGCAGAAGAATGTCCCACAACGCCTGCCACGTCAGTTTGTGCGCTCTCACGGCCTTGTTGTACGGACGGCCGCTTCTGAGAACCTTCTCTGCTGTCTTAGATCCGAACAGGTTGCTGTCTTCCCAGACTTTGAGGAGCCCAGAAGACTCGACATGTCGCCCGATCACGCCGAGGAAGTTCATCGCGATGTGGAGTCCTCCCAGCCTGACGATCAGCCACTCCTGCAGGTCACTGTAGGCCCATTTCAAGGGCAGTAGTCTTTGGAACAGAGCCTCATCAACTGTGATGACGACATGCTGCTGTCCCAGAGCCGATGCTACCGCGCGGCATCTGTGTACTGCAGTGTAGAGAGTGTCCATCTCATGAGCAGGAGCATTCAGGATGGGCATGAGTCCAACAGCTGACTGTTCATGCCCCGTGCCAGCCACACATGTCTCCATGTTATGGACAGTCCAACCCTTTTTCTCTTCACTTTTCTGCCGCATGCACAGAAAGGCCATATCATGGGCCTCAGCAAGGTCAGACCGAGGCGACTTTTCATCATGTTGGTTGAACTCCGAACCGGCGGCAAAGACAGGCTTAACTTTTGAACCGTCCAGTCCGGATGGCAGCAGCTTGTGGAGAGAGTCTGGTGTTTGTAGAACCGTGCTTCTTGACGGCCTGATGTCATGGAGATGCTCAGGTGGGTGCGAGTTTCGCTGCCATGCTGCCATCTGCAGAGCAAATGCAAGAACATTAAAAATTTGGGAAATGCTGCTACTATTACGAATGCAAGCTAAACAAACCAGATCAAAATGAATTTTGGTCACTTAACTCCTACATGTTTACTGAAGGTACCCGAGGAGTACCAAGCCGGTACAAGTACAAAGTACATTTGAGGTCAAAGCTAGGCCACAAGACGTCACAAATTTTATGAAGTCATGTATAGGTCATGTGACACAAGTTTTCCGGTCCATTTTGGCGGAATAATTCAATTACAGTGTCCGTTTTTCGTCTAAAATCATTTTAAACAGGTTATTGTGAAGGTCAGGTCACGGTCAGGTAAAAATGTCAAATGTTAAATTTGGCCAAATTGAGTAATGCTAGGCATAACGTCACAAGGATCTCACCTGTGTCGCGTGGAATGTGTTTTTCCCATCCAGAGATTCGTCTAAGATGTCGATGTTGTCCAGAGCGAAGTGTACAAACTTGCCAGGGACAAGATTCGGCGGGACTACTGCCCCAGTTGACTCGTCTGTACTGCTCAGAACGGCTTCTGCCAAACCTGTTGTCACGGTCAGGAGTTGTTTGTAGCTCAGGCAATGCCCCGCGTTGTGAATCATCTGCACAAGCCGTTTAGATCTTGTCTCTTGGTGTATAGTGTTGGCCAGTCCTACGTGTTTCGGGGTCCATTTCTTCCCTCTCGATGCACAAAAAACCACGTCCTGTGCGATTGAGAGTGCGTGTCGTCCCGAACCATCACCATCGCCACCAGAATCCGAGTCTATCACCTGGCGGAGGAAGCTCAGCAGGATCGCTGGGACGCATGCCATGGCGCTCTCCTCGTCACCGTGAAGACCCTCATAACGGGGTGCTTCTCGAATTTCTTCGCGAATCTTACGGGCGAGTCGAGAGAATTCCTCATTCAGGTCGTTGCGTTCGTCATCAGACTTCGATTTTGTCTGCGCCGATTTCATGGGCGTCAGCAGCGTTCCCAGTCGCCGAACCGCATGTACATCGTAGGCGTCACCGAGCTTGGACTTGAGGGCAGCCACAAATGTCTGCCTCCTTGATGTGTACGACTTTGGGACTTCGACGCCCAGATCCTTACATGTTTTTTCGTAGCGGCGAAAGACGGCGTCGAGGTCCAGTTCGTCACTGGCGGTGTCGGTCAGGAGCTCATCTGCCAGCAGCTGCAGCGCGTCATCAGTCAAGAATGCTGAACTCGACTGCCCAGATTTTAGGCCCATCTTCCAGGACTGTTTCAGGAAGGCAGCATAACACATGTTGTGATACTTCAAGCCACTTGCGATGACGTCTAGGTATGGAGGTACGCGCAGTGACATATGTGGAAGTGTTTCACAGCCGTACCGTATTTTTTGGGCCATGTCCTGTGATGCAACAGCATGCAGCTCCAACTTCTTCGCCTCCTGACAGAAAATACACTCTGCCAAATCCACAGATTCGCGGCGAGGCCTCTTGCTCTCCGCTGTCTCTTGTGCCGTTTTCGTGCCATTCTGTCTCATAAATACCCTGTAGCAGTTCTTATGGTATTTAAGCTCGCATTTTCCTTCGACGAAAGACTCTAACCTATCAGAAAGCTGCCTTTTGCTCTTGTCTTTCCTCAAAATAGGCAACAGCTTAAAGAGGTTCTCTCTTCCAATGTTTGATGCCAAACACAACTTCTCATCATCTCCCTCACAAAACACACACTCGTCGACTAAGTCGACCCCGCGCTTGCTCGCTGTCATTCTTATTCATGGAATTACTAATTTGTTGATATAGGTACGAACTATGACATAAATGTGAAAACTAATAGAAGGGGAAACAGAAGTTTTCGTTCATATCACTATATAAAACAAACCGGATGAAATGCCGCCGCAGCGCCACAATACGAAAAAAAGTGACAAAAATCACCACATTTCACGTGATGTATTAACCTGCTGTGTTGCTGATAACAATCGATCGAATTTTGTCAAGATGTGACTTACTTTTTCACATTTTTAACATCGCTCACCTTTCACCTCTAAAAATGCTATTTTAACACGGACAAACGCGGAATGATTTTGCTTCATCGTCGATGTGTTTTTTTTCCTCACTTTTGTGAATAGAAAATGAAAGAAGTTGAATGTTTTATCGACTTTCCAATTTTTTTGGTCGTTTTTTCCATATATGGCATCATTATGACGTCATAAAATGCTTGAATAGTGGTGAAAAGAATACTATCAATAACGTGATATAATATCGTCTCCGGGACAAAGTTTGGAAGCCATATCTTCAATATTGGTAATTCTATTACGAAATTCGTCGGTACACCACCATTGTCCAAAAAATGTGAAACGTGCTATTGCACGTGCTCTGGAAGTGGTGCACCACATTTTAGAGATGCGCACCGGTCATATTCGGATTCAGCGGTCATTTTTGTCCCAGAAACCACCCTTTGCTGAGCTCTACCCAATTTTGCGTTATTCGGCCCAAAAATGGGCCTGCTTCCCCTGACTACTAGGGTTAAACGTTCGGACAAAATTCTGCCATACAACTGGAATTGCGCGATCGGGTGGTGGGATCAGGGTCAGCACAACAAGCTATGCTTAGTGCGGGCTCTGATTCCTCAAATCCACCCATTCAGCCATTCGGACTAAATTTATAAAAAAAAAAAATTAAAAAAAAAATCGTATCTGTCGAAAATCATAACTCATAGCCATATTCATAGATCGATCGCACGAATCAGTCGCCACCTTAAAACATTACATTCGCTTTCAACCGTATTTACCTGTTCAATAATTGATTTCGACTTCGCAATTAATTCCTTCAGCAATATTACCAATAATTTCGCAATGCAACTTTTAGTGAATTAAGCACGAATCTACACCATTAATTTCACAAACGAATTCCAACCTCAAATCGCACTTGACCACCGCCGATTATAATAAATCGAACGAACCAGTTTGACCAAAGACAATGACATATTCAATGTTGTCACGCATCCTGTCATCAATTTCAGCGTTCGTGACACTGAGCTGCTTATTCAAATTTTGGGATTTCGCTCACGGCCTAATCGTGAATTCCAACGGACAATAACGATTCGCTGGCGACTCTGACATGACCTCGAAATTCAGATCCTAAATGCTACTAGGGTGTCTGGACCAATAAGTTCAAAGTAATTTAAGTTTTCCAATTCC